CCACAGGGAATAGTGCCATATCGGGGGCTCAGTGTTGGTCTCTGCTGTTGGCAAATCTGGCTCTTAGCAGCAGCTGTAGCCAAATCAGCCTTGGTGAGTGGGAGTCCATGCTGTTGTGCCCATGCATAACCTCCATCTCTGCCACCATGGCCATTTTGTTTATGGGCCCATTGGGCAATGACATAGACAGCTGGAGAAACAGACTGTTCATAGAACAGGTCATCTGATCTACTTGATTATTGAACTCATCCTCTGCTGAAATCACCTTTTGATGCACATTTACATGAGACATAAGTATGTTCACACCCTTTGCCCATTTGGAGAGATCTGTCCACATACTTCTTCCCCAAATGTCTTTCTCACCAATTTTCCAGTCATGGTCCTTCCAAGTCCCTGACCATCCAGCCAAACCATTGGCTACAGCCCATGAATCAGTATATAATCGCACTTCCAGCCATTTCTCCTTCCAAGAAAAACGCACAACGATGTGCACGGCCTGAAGTCCTGCTGTGAAGACGCTCCTTCCCCAGTGTCCTTCAGGGTTGTTCCAGAAATCGGCTGTAATGCCGCAGCTGTCCACTTCTGTGTGGTGTCTGCATAGCCTGCAGAACCATCTGTAAACCAAGCCCTAGTCTTCTCTTCCTCAGTCAACCGATCATAGGGCACACCCCATGAAGCCATAGGTGCAGGCTCAAGAACAGGAGGTGTAACGGGAGTTGGAACCATAGGCGTTTAGGTAACTTCTTCATGTGACTTGCTTGTGCCCTCCGTCTGCTCAGGCGGATCACGTATATACCGCTTCCATTTAATAATGGATCCTTCTTGTGCACGTCCTACTTTATGGCTTGGTGGGTCACAAAACACTCAGCTCACGATGGGTGTATGGAAGAGGAGCAGCATAATTTAAAATGGCAACATCCAGGAACCTAGCAATGGCCAGCTCCAGTCTCATGGTGACTTGGTGGCCCATTGTCAAATGTTCGGTTTCCACTAAGCCCCAACAGCAGGCTAGGAGCTGTCTCTCAAAGGGAGAATAGTTGTCCGCAGATGAAGGCGGAGCCTTATTCCAAAATTCCATCAGCCTCCACTGTGATCCCATCTGGGGGCCTCCCAGAGACTCCAAAGGGCATCTCTATCTGCCACTGATACCTCAAGCACCATCAATCCGCTGGATCATATGGCCCAAGGGGCACAGCAGCCTGCATAGCAGCCTGGACCTGTTGAAGAGCCTTTTCCTGTTCCAGGTCCTACTTAAAGCTGTCTTCTGAGTCACTTGATATATGGGTCATAGTAACACACCCAGATGAGGAATGTGCTGCCTCCAGAATCCAAAGAGGCCCACTAAGCTTTGTGCTTCTTTCTTGGTGGAGGGAGGGGCCAAGTGCAACAACTTATTCTTCACCTTAGAAGGAATGTCTCTGCGTGCTCCACACCACTAACTCCTAGAAATTTCACTGAGGTAGAAGGCCCTTGAATTTTGTTTGGATTTATTTCCCATCCTCTCATGAGAATATGCTTTACCAAGTCCATAGTGGTTGCTACCTCTGGCTCACTGGATCCAATCAGCATAATGTCATCAATATAGTGGACCAGTGTGATATTTTGTGGAAGAGTCAGGCAATCAAGATCCCTTCAAACCAAGGTATAGCACAAGGCTGGAGAGTTAATATACCCTAGAGGTAGGACAGTAAAGGTATACTGTTGGCCTTGTCAGCTGAAAGCAAATTGTTTCTGGTAGTCCTTATGAACTGGTATTGAGAAGAAGGCATTTGCCAGATCAAGAGCTGCATACCAGGTACCAGGAGATGTACTGATCTGCTTGAGTAAGGAAACTACATCTGGTACAGCAGCCGCAACTGGAGTCGCTACTTGAGTTTTCGATAGTCAACTGTCATTCTCCATGATGAATCTGTCTTTTGCACAGGCCAAATAGGAGAGTTACAGCAATAGAGAAACAAACTAGAACAGAAATTTGTCCACAGAGTCGGGCACTGCTGTGACAGACCTGACCTTGGTGTTTTGGGGAGGACCGTGGAAGCGTTTGGAACTTTGGACTGGAAAAGCCATTGAGTACTTAGTTTGTTGCTGTGGAGCTTGGGACAGTTATACTAAAGAGAAATGTAGATGACGGAGGCCTGACTTGTGAAGCTTCAAATGGAAGTGGAGGGCTGTTTGTGCAATATTTTGAGTTGAGAATCTGTGGTTTCTGGTTGGCTGGGGCTGAAGAATCAGCTGTGATTAAGAGGAGACCAGAACCTGAAGTAGAACCTTTGCTTTACTGGGACAATTGATGCTGGTTAGCTGGGGCTGAAACATCAGCTGTAAGTAACCAGAGACCAGCATTGCTGTGGTGGAGTCTTCTGGGAGGTATTTCCTCAGGGTCAGCACACAGAAGGTATGGTCCAGAGGGGGCCTAAGCCTCCATCTCAAGCTGGAAGCTGGACTTGGTAATGTATAAGAGCCCCTTGCATGGTTCTGGTGTTGGAAGTGTGAAGGAGTCACAAGAGCAGCTGAGGCTTGGCACCCTGAGAAGCCAGAGGAGGTCATGAAGGTACAGCCTCAGTTTCGGTGGAGACCCCAGCTTTTTGGAGATGCTAGGACCATGGGACGACCACCAAGGGCAGCAGCAGGTGTGGAATGGAGCCAGCCTGGGTCTGTGAGATGAGCTATGTGGGCTGTGGATGGCAGAGTCAGAGAAGTGGAGCTGCCAAAACCCTTTGGATCCCAGAAGATTGTGAGTGAATCCCAGATGCCCAGCCTTGAGCTACTTTGCTGGACTTAGGTATTGCTTAGGTGTGCCCGATTCTTCCCTTTGAAATAAGACAGTACTTGTTTTGGATTTTACAGGAGCCCACAGTTAAGAGACTTTTAAAAGAGACTATGGACTTTTAAGTGTTTGGATTTTTTAAGGACCTTGGGGCTTTTAAGGTTGTACTAGCGTATGCTGTAATATTGTTGACATCCTATTTTGGGGACAAGAAGTAGAAAGGCTATGGTTTAACAGTGATGCGTTTGTGTGTCAAGTTGACACACCTGGGTAGAGGGAGCCTCAATCGGGGAACTTCCTCCATTGGTCTGGCCTGTGGCCATGTCTGTGGGGCATTTTTTTTTTTTTTTATCTTTTTGAGACAGGGTCTCCCTGAAGCCCCAGCTGTCCTGGAACTCACTATGTAGACCAGGCTGGGCTTGAACTCACAGAGATCTGCCTGCCTCTGCCTCCCGAGTGCTGGGACCACAGGCATGTGCCATCACGGCCAGCTCTTGGGCATCTTCTTGATTGTTGAGTGATGTGGGAGGGCCCACTGTAGGTGGTGCCACCCCTGGGCAGGTGGGCCTATGTTGTATAAGAAAGCAGACTGAGCAGGGGCTAGGGGAGCAAGCCAGTAAGCAGCGCTCCTTCATGGTCTGTGCTCCAGGTCCTGCCTCCAGGTTCCTGCCCCGAGTTCCTACCTTGGGCTCTCAGTGATGAAGTGTGACCTGGGAGATGTAAGCTGAACAAACCCTTTCCTCCCCAAGTTGGTATTGGTCAGAGTGTTTTGTCACAGCAATAGAGAAACAAACTAGGACAGCCATCATATTTACTATCCCAGAAAAGGGCAGGAAAGAAGTAACTCAGGCAGACAAAGCAGGAAATACTTGGGAAACAAGCAGGGAGCAGAGAGATGGAGTCTAACCTGTGTTTAGTATAAGCAGATCAAACATTCCAACTAAAAAGAAGACACTGGGTGGTGAAATAGCTCGGTGGGAAAGGGCACCAGCCACCAGATTCCCAGGACCCACAAGGTGGAAGGAGTGAACTGATTCTTACAAATTGTCCTCTAGCCGGGGTGTGGTGGCGCAGGCCTTTAATCCCAGCACTCGGGAGGCAGAGGCAGGCAGACCTCTGTGAGTTCGAGGCCAGCCTGGTCTACATAGTGAATTCCAGGACAGCTGGGGCTACAGGGAGACCCTGTCTCAAAAAGACCAAAAAAAAATTATATATATATACATTTTGTTATTTTTACTTTGAGGCCAGCCCAGGTTACATGAGACTTTGCTTCAAAAAACAAAAACAACACACAAAAAAGACTGAAGGAAGGAAGGAGTTGGCCTGGCTATGTTATTAATGGAGCGAACGGACCTCAAGATGAAGAGCACATGATGGTTTATGTCTATAATCCCAACACTTGGGAGGCTTAGGCAAGAGGACTGCAGGTTCAAAGCTGGGCTGGGCTATAGTGAGACCATTTCAAAACAAAACACACCAAAAAAGATGAAGAGATTATAAGACAGATAAAAGGAGCCAGGCATGGTAGTGCTCACCTTAGATCCCAGCACTTGGTAGGCAGAACTCTGAGAGTTCAAGGCCAGCCAGGTCTACATAGCGAGTTCCAGGTCAGTTGTGAGTACAGGAAGACCCTGACTCAAAAAGATGAGAGAGAGAGAGAGAAAGAGAGAGAGAGAGAGAGAGAGAGAGAGAG